GGGGATCACAACCAGATACAGTAAAGACATCTGTCCTTGCGCTATGCTACTCTGCTGCTGAGTATGCATGCCCAGTGTGAAACACATCTCACCACTAAAACAGTGGATGTGGCTCTTAATGAGACATGCTGCATTATCACGGGGTGTCTGCGCCCTACACCGCTGGAGAAATTACACTGCTTAGCCGGTATTGCACCACCTGACATCCGCCGGGAAGTGGCAGCCAATAGTGAAAGGACCAAGGCAGAGACATCTCCAGCTCGTCCCTTGTTTGGGTATCAGCCAGTACGTCAACGACTTAAATCAAGACATAGTTTTCTAAGATGTACAGAGACACTCGCTGGAACACACCAGCAAGCGAGAGTCCAAAAGTGGCAGGCTCAAACCCAGCACCTCAACCAGTGGCTGATACCAAATGAGAAACTCCCTCCTGGGCACACAGAAGACTGGGCGACTTGGAAGGCGCTGAACAGACTGCGCTCTGGCACCACAAGATGCAGAGCCAACCTTCAGAAATGGGGCTACAAAGTGGAGCCCACAACATGCGAGTGTGGAGAAGAGCAAACCACAGACCACTTGCTGCAATGCAACCTGAGCCCTGCCACATGCACAATGGAGGACCTTCTTGCAGCAACACCAGAAGCACTCCAAGTGGCCAGATACTGGTCAAAGGACATTTAACCAACTACCAAACTCAAATGTTTTGTATTTTTCTGTTTGTTTGCTTTGTTCTGTTAGAAATGTAATATAATGGACTGGTTGCTCTGACACGACAAAAAAAGAAAAATCTCATTGGGAAGCGAGTTCGACAGGCGGGGGGCCACAGTCGAGAAGGCCCTGTCTCTCTTCCTTTCCAAACGCATTTGCGAAGCTGTTGAGAGCGAGAGCAGGGTCTCCCCGTATGATCTTAAACTGCAAGGCGGGACGTAGAGGGAGATGGGTTCGGACAAATAAGCTGGGCCAGAACCAGTTGCTAGTGTAATCCTCCTGAGCTAGATGGTGAATCAGACCTGAGCCTAGCCCTGAAAATGCTGACCTTAAGTTCGAAATGAGTGAAGTGACCCCCAACTTTCCTTCCAAGTGGTCCCAGTGTGGTGTCCAAAGGGCTGAGCTTGCACTGGCCTTCATCAGATGCCAAGCCAGGAGAAGGCTCCTCTCCTGCCAAGACCACGGTGCTTTGGATGCTATAAAAGGGCGACGCGTATTGCTCTCCTTGCAGATTCCAGGAGCGGAGATCGAAAGCCGGGAGGGCCTGACGTTTTGAAGCATTGTCTTTCAAACTTGCGCTGTCTCTCGCTCCCATTGATTTCCCATTTGAGGAATCTGGAGTGGGGGGAGAAAAACACATTTGAGCCAGATTCGTGGGCCTAAGATGAAGGCGTCAGGGCGCAGCGACACCCCTCCCGCGCCTGGTCTGTTTCCATGAAGAAAGCCATGCTTCATCTTGGTCCCTCTCGCCGCTTCGTTCGCATGGTCAATTGAGTAGGTCAATCAGAAAGTTACGAGGGTTGAATGAAAAGTAATGCCTCCACCTTCGTTACTTGGGTTTGGATGGGAATGTTTTAATAAATCAAACGCAGAAATAATCCTTAGAATGTGCTCTTTCACTACCACTATTCGCTTTTTGACATAATCACCAGACAATTGGATACATTTCTGCCAAGTTTTCTGAAACCGTCATGGAAGAAGCCGACACTCTGTTTCCGCAACCCATCATGCACAGATCTTCTGATAGCCAAGCAAAGCAATAATGTGACCCACGCGTTCTTGTGAAATGCCGATTATGCTTGAAATTTCTCTCTGAGTGATACAACGATCGTTCTGAATCAATCTGTCAACCTTTTCTTGTGAAACTCGGTGGTTGCTGTCACAGGACGTTCAACTCTATGTCACGCAAGTCGGATGTTCCCACCTCAACACCTTTAAATTTACTTGCCCAACAACACACAGTACTCCCGACCTTCTGGCAAACAAACTAGTCCAATGTGGGCTAGGCAAAACTACGGTGAGGTGGATTTGTAATTGGTTAAATGGACGAACCCAGAGGGTGCTCACCAATGTTTCCTCTTCATCTTGGAAAGAAGTGACGAGTGGAGTGCCGCAGGGTTCTGTCCTGGGCCCAGTCCTGTTCAACATCTTCATTAATGACTTAGATGAAGGTTTGCAGATGACACCAAATTGGGAGGGATAGCCAATGCTCCAGAGGACAGGAGCAAGATTCAAAACGATCTTGACAGATTAGAGAAATGGGCCAAAACTATCAAAATGAAGTTCAACAGTGACAAATGCAAGATACTCCACTTTGGCAGGAAAAACGAAATGCAAAGATACAAAACGGGGGACGCCTGGCTCGAGAGCAGTACGTGTGAAAAAGATTGGACAACAAGTTAAACATGAGCCAACAATGTGACGCGGCGGCAAAAAAAGCCTATGTGATTTTGGCCTGCATCAATAGGAGCATAGTGTCTAGATCTAGGGAAGTAATGCTACCCCTCTATTCTGCTTTGGTTAGACCACACCTGGAATATTGTGTCCAATTCTGGGCACCACAATTCAAGAGAGATATTGACAAGCTGGAATGCATCCAGAGGAGGACGACTAAAATGATCAAGGGTCTGGAGAACAAGCCCTATGAGGAGCGGCTTAAGGAGCTGGGCATGTTTAGCCTGAAGAAGAGAAGACTGAGAGGAGATATGATAGCCATGTATAAATATGTGAGAGGAAGCCACAGGGAGGAGGGAGCAAGCTTGTTTTCTGCTTCCTTGGAGACTTGGACGCGGAACAGTGGCTTCAAACTACAAGGGAGGAGATTCCATCTGAACACAAGGAAGAACTTCCTGACTGTGAGAGCCGTTCAGCAGTGGAACTCTCTGCCCCGGAGTGTGGTGGAGGCTCCTTCTTTGGAAGCTTTTAAACAGAGGCTGGATGGCCATCTGTCAGGGGTGATTTGAATGCAACATTCCTGCTTCTTGGCAGGGGGTTGGACTGGATGGCCCATGAGGTCTCTTCCAACTCTTTGATTCTATGATTCTATGATCAACACAATCCCCATAAACAGCTTGCATTCTCTGATGAATCTCCTTTGGGGTGACACCTTCTGCTGTCAAGAATTCCATGACTGCACGTTGCTTAAGTTGCATTTATTTATTTATATACGGCATTTATATGCCGCCCTTCTTACCTCGAAGGGGACTCAGAGCGGCTTACAAGATATATTTTAATACAGTATATTATGTTATTAGCATAGTACAATATCAGTATTATATATTGCACTATACCATTATATTGTAATATTATTAGTAATATTACATGTAATGTAAATATATAATTACAATTGTAATATTGTATTATTATTTCTAGTATTATATTTTATTACATTATAATATTATAAATATTATATGTATATACAATCTATATAAATAAAAATGTAATGTTTGTTTGTGGTATTCACAGAACTCAAAAACCCCTGGACGAATTGGCACAAAATTTGGACACAAGACACCTAACAACCCAATGTATGTCCTTCACTCAAAAAAAGTTGTAGTTGCTGGGATTTATAGTTCACTAACAATCAAAGAGCATTCTGAACTCCACCAACGATGGAACTGAATCATAAAATCATAGAGTTGGAGGGGACTTCATGGCCCATCCAGTCCAACCCCCTGCCTAGAAGCAGGAAAATCGCATTCAAACCACCCCTGACAGATGGCCATCCAACCTCTGTTTAAAAGCTTCCAAAGAAGGAGCCTCCACCACACACAGAACTCCCATGACCAACAGAAATTACTGGAAAGGTTTGGTCGGTATTGACCTTGAGTTTGGGAGTTGTAGTACACCTATATACAGATAGCACTGTGGACTCAAACAATGATGGATCTGCACCAAACTTGGCACAAATATTCCATATGCCCAAATATGAACACAGATGGAGTTTGGGGGAAATAGACCTTCACATTTGGGATTTGTAGTTATTGGGATTTATAGTTCACCTACAATCAAAGAGCATTCTGAATCCCACAAACGACAGAATTGAGGCAAATTTCCCACACTGAACTCCCATGACCAACAGAAAACACTTAAGGCCATCCAATCCAACTCCCTTCATCAGGGCAAGAAAATGTAATCAGAGCCCTCCTGACAAAGAGCCATCCAGCCATAGATATAGATATATAGATAGATATGATTCACACACAGAGAGAGATATAGTATCATAGATTTGAAAGGGGCCCCTAAAGAAGGACAATTATATGTTGCATGTTCCAGAATAGGCAACCCAGACAATCTCTACATCAACACTGACAAAGAAACAAGATGCTTGATGCTTGTGTTTACCCACAAGCATCAAGAAATTACATATATTAGATACGATCACTTTCTCGTTACTTTATTTTCCAGATCACCAAACTGGGCCACAGCAATGCGTGGCAGGGTCAGCTAGTAGTGTATACATATTAAAAAAAATATTGCGCTTCTACTTTGCGGATTTTCACTTTTCACGAGTGTTCCTGGAACATAACACCCATGATAAGTGAGGGAATATTGTACATTTTTCTTTATATAGATATGTTGGTTTTGTCGCGACATACTCGGGCCCCTGAGACAACGCGCAACGATGCTGTGACTTCAGTTGCCAAAAGCTCTCTGTGCCTTTCTGTTGCCGGCTTTGGGTTTCCTGTCTAAGGATAAAAACAACTCTGGCCTTTAGAGATCTCAATGACGGGCTTGAGCGAAATGCTAAGTTGCCACCTCCTAAAGTTGGTAGCCAACATGGCAGGCTCGATCACACTTCCGCAGCCTCGAGACGAGCGTGGGCGTTCTTGCCAAAGGCTCCCCAAATACCTTCTGGGGAATGATAGTCTGTTCTCCTCCCAACAGGGATGCTTTGCAGAGGGATAGAGCTTTCCTTAAAGGACACATTTGTGTTCCATGCACAAAGGTCAGAGCCGAAGGAGGCCCACCTTCCTAACCGATCTCTCTTGTCTTTTCTCTCCTACCTCTAGTTGCAATACCATGCAGGGCTGGCGTCTGGCCTTCTGAATCAGCAGTCTCTGAAACGATCGGCCAACCAGATGGGGGTTTCAGCCAAGCGGAGGCCCAAGGCCCAGCCCACCACACTGGTCCTGCCACCACAGTAAGTAGCCCGCGAGGGAAGAAAGAATGGGGAAAGGGTGGGGAGGTTCAGCATTGCAGCACAATCCTATTCTGAGAGCTTTGGTGTTTTACCAAAGGGTCCTGGACCCAGTACTGATCAACTTCTTTATGAATGGGTTGTTGTGAGTTTTCTGGGCTCTCTGGCCATGTTCAGAAGCATTCTCTTCTGACGTTATTATTATTATTATTATTATTATTATTATTATTAACTTTATTTGTACCCCGCTAGCATCTCCCGAAGAACTCGATGCGGCTTACAACGGCCAAGGCCTTAATACACAACATAACAATACAAAGCCTAAAGCAAATTAAAAACAATTAAAGCAATATTAAACAATAATCAATACACCAAGACACAATAAAACTGGGCCGGTCCAGAGTAATGGGTACAGAATTAAAAGTGCTGATGTGACAGGTGGTATATAAGTATTATAGAGTAAGTGCAGTGTGCAGTGTGCGGCAATCTTAGTTCTAATAAAGTGCGTATGGGACTTGTTATTGGAGATTTCCTATTCTGGGAAGGCACATCGGAACAGCCAGGTCTTCAAGTTCTTTCTAAAGACTGCCAGTGTAGGGGCCTGTCTAAGATATTTGGAGAGGGTGTTCCAGAGTCGGGGGGCCACCACAGAAAAGGCCCTGTCTCGTGTCCCCACCAAACGCGCTTGCGACGCAGGCGGAATCACAAGCAGGGGCTCTCCGGATGAACGTGTGAACGCGTGGGTTCATAAACGGAGATGTGGTCGCACAGGTAGGGTGGTCCCAAACCGTTCAGGGCTTTGTAGGTAAGCATCTGCACCTTAAATTGGGCTCGGAAAATAAACGGCAGCCAGTGGAGCTCCTTGAACAGAAGGGTTGACCTCTCTCTGTAAGGAGCACCAGTTAACATTCTGGCCGTCGCCCGTTGGACCAGTTGGAATTTCCAAGCCATTTTCAAGGGCAGCCCCACGTAGAGCGCATTACAGTAGTCCAATCTAGAGGTGACCAAGGCATGGACCACCCCGGCCAGATCAGCCTTTGCGAGGTACGGTCGCAGTTGGCACATGGGTCTCAATTGTGCGAAAGCCCTCCCGGACACCACCGACGCCTGAGCCTCAAGTGTAAGCGATGAATCCAAGAGGACTCCCAAACTGCGGGCCTGTGGCTTCAGGGGAGTGTAACCCCATCCAACACAGGTTGCCACCCTATACCCCGATCAGGTTTACGATCGACCAGGAGGACCTCTGTCTTGTCGGGATTGATCTTCAGCTTGTTCCTCCTCATCCAGATAGACACAGTGGCCAGGCACTCGTCCAGGACCCGGGAGGCCTCCTTGGAATTGGAAGTTTTGCTTGCATTTATGGCATGCTTTCTCAGAGATTGTGAGATCTGTTGGAAACTAGAAAAAATTGGGTTGATATATCTGTGGGATAACATCCAGGATGGGAGAAAGAACTCTTGTCTGTTGGAGGCAAGTGTGAATGTTTCAATTGGCCACCTTGATTAGCATTGAATGGCCTAGCAGTTTTCAAGATTTGGCTTCTTACTCCTTGGGGGAATCCTTTGGAGGTGTTAGCTGGTTCTGATTGATTCTTGTCTGGAATTCCGCTGCTTTTTTGAGTGTTGCTCTTTATTTGCTGTCCTGCTTCCAGAGTTTTTTTTTAAATACAAGGAGGAAACCATGACAGTGAACAAAATCTGGCTACCACTGATTCCAGCCATGAAAGCCTTCAACAACACATGTTTATTATGATTTAGATGAAGATTTAGAGCAGGGGTCCTCAATTTTTTTAAACAGAGGGCCAGGTCACAGTCTCTTAAACTGTTGGAGGGTTGGATTATAATTTGGGGGGAAAAAATGAATGAATTCCTGTGCACACTGCACATATCTTATTTGTAGTACAATAAAATAAAATAAAAACAATACAATAATTAAAATGAAGAACAATTTTAACAAATATAAACTTATTAGTGTTTCAATGGAAAGTGTGGGCCTAATTTGGCTGATGAGATAGGATTGTTGTTGATGTGTGCTTTCAAGTCATTTCAGACTTAGGTTGATTCTGAGTGAGGGCCCAGTAAATGACCTTGGAGAGCCATATCCGGCCCTTGGGCCTTAGTTTGAGGACCCCTGGTTTAGAGGGACTACTTACCAAGTTTGCAGATGACACCTAACTGGGAGGGAGAGCCAGAGGAAAGGGTCAGGACTGGTTTGTTGTAGGTTTTTCGGGCAGTATGGCCATGTTCTAGAAACCATGTTCTAGAAGCATTCTCTCCTGACGTTTCGCCTCCATCTATGGCAGGCATGCTCAGAGGTTGGGAGGTCTGATTCAAAATGACTTTAACAGATTAGATTGTCACAAAAGTCACAAAATGAATGTCAATAAGGACAAACGTAGGATACTCCATTTAGGAAGAAAAAAAGGAAACGCAGAGATATAGGATGGGTGATTCCTGGCTCCACAACAGTCCATGTGAGAAAGACCTTGGAGACTTTATGGGGAACAAGTTGAACATGAGCCAAGAGTGTGAGGCAGCAGCTCAAAAAGCTGCATCCAAAGGAGCCTAGTGTTCAGATTGATACTCCTATACAGTTCGCTTCTTGCGGACTCGCTGTTTCACAGGTTCGCAATAAGCCATGGGAGAGCTGTGAGGGGAGGGAGGAGGAAGAGGAGGAGGGGAGGGGGAGCCAGTTGCTAGGCCTTACCCTCGGGCTTTTCTCCACCCACTCGGCAGCAGCCTCGCCCTCTTCATCGAGTCTGCTGCTCGCCACCTCGGAGGCCTCTTGGGCTCCATTGACGGCACTGCCAGACTGGGCTGAGGCCTCAAACTAGGCCTCAGCCCAGCCTGGCAGTGTAAGGGATCACGGGTTTAGGGTGCGGAGTCCATTTTCTAAGAAATCCAGAGTCTAATAGGTTCACGTAAGACACCGTTTATTCAAGCTGATCAGCATGAGGTGAACAGACCGCACCTTTGTAAGTGTTTCCATAGACTGCCTCGCCCTCCTCTGTTTTTGCAAACTTTTATATACCTTCACGTAAATAAGAATATTTTTGTCATGGAAAGTACTTTGACCTTTACTCTTCCTGTCCCATCAACCTCTCGATGGAAAGTACCTTCTCGCACCTGCAGACTTTGCGCTTAACCACAAACCAACTTCCTATGTAAGCTCGAACTTTATACGACCTCTACATGTCACCTCTTGTTTTTAAAACATTTTCCTCAGTGCTGCTCCTTTTGTACAGGGAAGGGGTACATTTTTTAATGATGTTTCTTTACTAGCTATTGCTAATTTTACTCAAAGCTTCTTGCTTAGTTATTGCTAATTTCACTCAAAGACCCTTTCATTAGTGCCATCAATGGCACCCAAGGGACCTCCGAGGCGGCAAGCAGCAGACTCGGCGAAGAGGACGAGGCCACTGCCGAAAGGGCGGAGCATCCTTACTTTGTGGATTTTTACTTATTGTGGGTGGCCCTGGAACGGATCATCTGCGATAAGTGAGGGAATACTGTATTCCACTTTGGTCAGACCTTACCTGGAATACTACGTCCAATTCTGAGCAGCACAATTTAAAAGAGATATTGACTGTAAGGTGGAAGGTGTCCAGAGAAAGAGGGCAACCAAAATGATCAAAGGTCTGGAGATCATTCCCTCTGAGGAGCATCTTAAAGAGTTGGGCATGTTTAGCCTGCAGAACAGAAGATTGAGAGGAGAGAGATATAAATATGTGAAAGGATGTCATAAGGAAGAGGGAGAAGTCTTGTTTTCTGCTGCTCTGTTCAACATCTTTATTAATGACTTAGATGAAGGGTTAGAAGACAGGATCATCAAGTTTGCTGACGACAACAAATTGGGAGGGATAGCCAATACTCCAGAGGACAGGAGCAAGATTCAAAACGAGACTAGGACTCAGTGGAGCCATGTCTTCAAATGAGAGGAAAGGAGATTCCACCTGAACATGAGGAAGAACTTCCTGACTGTGAGAGACATTCAGCAGTGGAACTCTCTGCCTCAGAGTCCATTGGAGTCTCCTTCTTTGGAGACTTTGAAACAGAGGTGCTTTGAATGTGCATGGAGGGGGTTAGACTACATGGCACACTTTTCAAACCACCAAAAGAAGGAAGATCTGCAAGTCCTTCTGTGGTGCTTGTTTGGACTCACCTAAAAAAAATCTCTCAACTTCAGCCTCTGGTTTAATTTTTATTGGAAAGGGGTGGAAACTGATAATGTGGCTAATACACTAGGAATGCCCTCCACCTTAGTGACCTAAAGACAAGACCTGGAGGGAGGAAGCTTCCTTTCTCCTGCCCTGGAGACTAGGGCGCAATGGGACAATGGCTTCAAACTACAGGAAAGGAGAGTCCATCTGAATATGAGGAAGAACTTCCTGGGTGTAAGAGAGAGCAGTTCAGCAGTGGAACTCTCTGTCCCGGAGTGTGGTGATGGCTCCTTCTTTGGAGGCTTTGAAGCAGAGGGTGGATGGCCATCTGTCAAGGGTGCTTTGAATATGATTTTCCAGCTTCTTGGCAGAATGGGGTTGGACTGGATGGCCAACAGGTCTCTTCCAACTCTAGGATTCTGTATTTATTTATCGTGTCATCGGCAACCATACCATTGTATTACATTTCTAACAGCACAAAACAAACAAACAGATAAAAAAGCACAAATTTTGCAAACTTGGTAGTTGATTAAATGTCCTTTGACCAGTATCTGGCCCCTTGGAGTGCCTCTGGTGTTGCCGCAAGAAGGTCCTCCATTGTGTATGTAGCTGGGCTCAGGTTGCATTGAAGCAGGTGATCTGTGGTTTGCTCTTCTCCACACTCGCATGTGGTGGATTCCACTTTGTAGCCCCATTTCGTAAGATTGGCTCTGCATCTCGTGGTGCCAGAGCGCAGTCTGTTCAGCGCCTTCCAAGTCTCCCAGTCTTCTGTATGCCCAGGAGGGAGTCTCTCATCTGGTATCACCCACAGATTGAGGTGCTGGATTTGAGCCTGCCACTTTTG